AAGAAATAACTGTGTCACAAGACATTGACATAGTCGATGATCATAACGATGAGTGGGTTGACGACTGGTCAAAACCCGAGGTAGAATAGGACGATGAGCAACAGCAGTCATATGAACAAGACCAGACGAACCTGCGTGTCTTAGAGTGGCTGAATGAAATGACATCAGACCCTAAAGAGACCAGCGTTACGATTCAAGACGTAGATCGTGAAAGCGCGAAATACATTAAGACCGAACGAGATGATCCTTCCTGGGCTGCCCAGGAAGGACAACTTCTCATTCCAGCTTCTAACCTTGACTTAATACCCGGTATGCGATCGACGGGGACGCCGATGGATATTTTTGTCCGGGGAGTGGGGGTAGGACTTACCCACACTGAAAACTTGATAATAAAAAAATTAAGAATAGCAAGGGAAACAGGAGACTTAGAAGCAGAAACAGGCGAAGAACCTAAGAAACCTGATATAGGCAGGGTAGTTGAGTCATATTTTAACTTACCAAATGAATATTCTAGTAACATAATACTAACAGACAGTGATTTCATACTCACAAACAGAACATGTGCAGTAGCAATCACCGCAGACATGAGTTTTAGGACGGCGCTAGCGGCAGATTTTAAGAGGGAATATAAAAACGTGGAATTCCTTTGGAAGCAAAGACCAGGGATAGGGGGCGTAGCAGCCTTACCTCCGGCGGTGTCGCAGATACCGGGAAAGTACTTGTGCTTCTTGGTAACGAGGGCGACGGAGAAGCAGCACGTGGACCCAGAAAACCTAGTCTTGTCTTTGACGAGGCTGAGGGACTTCCTTGTGGAAATGGACGTGAAGGAGCTTTCGCTTCCAGTGTACGATCCAAATAGAGGAAGACTGCATCCTCGGGAATTGTACGCGCTTGTACACGTGATATTCTCTGATACGAACATACAAGTATATCTACATAAGAAATATTATTTAAGTATAGGCTGAGTGATGTGCGAAAGAGTGTTAGGCCAAAGACCAAGTTGCATGTAATAGGTGATATGTGTGTTATGTTATGTTATGTGTTAGGTTATTAAGATCATGGGTGAGTAAGCGTTAGTGACCATGAACAACTAAATGACGATCTTGGGAATAGATCCAAAGTTTGGACTGTCCAATCTTAGGTCGAATTCCAAAATTTTAGAAACCAATTGATTTTAATAAATTTTAGGATAAATATCTTTTTATCTGAACTGTTTTAAGCAGATTTTAACGATATATGTTAAGGTGAAACTGACAGGTGTGACAGTCGTGATTCCTTTTCTAGATCCTGATTGATCATTTAATTGCTCATTTGAGTCAAAACTTGAAATCGAAATCAAATCAAACTTGGAAAGAACAGTATGGACAATTTCAACCTGGATGAATTGATGGACCTGGCAGAGGCATATGTAGGACCGATGGTAGATGCGATCTATCGTCGGCTGATCGAACGAGACTTCGCTCTGGAGGACCCAGAGGTGGTCATGTTGCTGACCGCCCTGATCAACATCTTGGGGCACGACAACCGTGGGGACCGCCCCACGGAAGTCCTGTTGATGGCAGCATATGGAGAAAGAGGAGTACTAGACCGCCCGAACATGAGAGTGATGAGGTGGAGAAACGGGGCTCTCTCAGGGAGTGACTTGGCGAATGAGCCTGGGTTGGGAAGTTCTAGGACTTACCAACCAGGTGAGATGCCAATGCCCTCTAAGCCTAAACCTGGGCTGACGAGAATGCATCGGGAGATGAACAGCGAAGCGACCTCGGCTGGTTCACCACTGAGAGCAGCTGTGCCACCAAAAAGGGCGAAAGTAACACAGAAGGTTCAGACGAACCAAACCATACAAGATCTGGACGAGATGAACGATCAACTGAGGAGTACGAAGAAGGAGTTAGACGATATGACGAAGACCATGCTGGCGATACGATGGCTGGAAGCTCATGTGAGAGAAAATAATAGACAGGAGGCACCGACGAGAGAACAATTGCAGAAATTAGATTGTCTAAAAGATTTAGATCTTTTTGAGACAATGTGCAAAGTTCTAAACATTCCGATGGAAGTGAAGAAGATATGGGCAAGAAAACGATTGATGCCATGGTTCAGAGCTAACATGACTGCATGGTTGTACGAGTATGCGAAAAAGCATATGTCGAAACATGGCAGAGTGTACAGTGAATATCAGCTGGATATTGGGGCAGGAGCTTTCAAGCGAGCTTTCGTGACCCATCGGAATGCAGTGACCACCGCTGTGAAAAGAATTTCCAGGACGAGCGAGCGTAGTGGAAATGAGAAGGCAGAGATGCTGAAAGAAGATTTGGAGAGAAACGTGACGTTGTGTCTCCACAACAGCTTCTGTAGAAACAGAGAATCAAACGTGGATCCCCTACCTTGCTGTAAACAGAGGGTGGAAGAGCAGAAGTGTTGGAGGACGGCTTCCAACAGCGTCAGGATAGTCAATGACGTGCTACAAGACACGGAAACCGAAAGTGCGGAGTCAGTGTCACAGGAGGAGGAAATGGAGCATTGACGAATGGTCGAGAAAACAAGAGGCGGCAAGAAAGAAAATTAGAAGAATTTAGAAGTTTTAGAACTTCTAAACGACGAAAAAAGAGGAGAACAAAGGAATGATGAAGAAAAGTCAAAACTCAGAATTGTTTTATGTGTGTGAAAAACTCAAGTGAGAAACCAAGCAACCAAGTTGTAATTGAAAACTGAAACATTTTTGTTGAGTTTTGAAATTGTTGCATTTATAAATTTGCATTTTGGTTTTAGTTGAAGTGGCTTTAGAGACACTCACTTATTATTTATTTAGAAAGGCTTGAGGGAAGAGTATATTTAAATATTCCAGCCTGCATGATTGTTTTTAATCACTTAGGAAGACTGATCACTTTGTGGTGACATGAAAAACTTGAGTAACTTCTTGAGGAGGGAGGTTGTTGCATTGTTCTTTCTAACCACAAGGTCTCTTGGTTTTAATATTCAGGACAATAAACAAGCAAGATTTCCGAAGGGAAGGAGCATAGTAGGATAATTTTAGCTTGTTGGTTGGCAGGACTGTCCTGCAAGCCAACACCTTTTAAATCTAGGAGAAAAAGCTTTAATCGGGACATTGACACTGGAAGTCAGAAAATATGTTTTATCTTAAGTCATATCCTCAATGTGCAGATTAATGAAAGAATTTGAAGGCTATAGTGATGTAGTATGATGCCATTTATATTCTGCAGTGAGTCGATGTGACGTAGATAAAAGTAATTTCGTGCATTTTGTAAATTCTGTTCGATGACACTGTAACCATTTAGAACATAGTGCGATTCAATGAGGACATTGACCGGACTGTCCGGGGAGTATGTGACATTCGACCAGAATGGCCAAAATTCAATTTATGCAGGATTCGAATTTTGAGCAGTAAGCCTTCCGAGTTGATGATTTCGAAGGATTAGCGACGTTATTGGAACGTTTAGCCAAACGGTGAGGGCTAGAATATTCTAGTATTTTAAATTTTCAAAAATTCGAATGATGACGTCACATTTCTGAGAAATGCTGAAACGGCCATTTTAACAAAAAGCGAGTGAAAAAGAGAACAACTTTATCTGTGATTGCGAACAGAACGAAAATCGAGATTAAAGAAAAACGACAACGAACTACAATAGCAGAGAACGTTCCAAGTTGCAACTATTGTGCTGCTACAATAGTTGCAAGGCCGTTGCCAACAACGGTGAAGGGTGAGAACCAGCCTTCCGGATTGGCGTGAAATTGAACTTGAGGAGCTTGATTCACTGGATTCAAGAATCCGGAAGGGTTTCGGGACTGGAACTTTTAGCCTTTTATATAAACTTTTAGCTTCTTGTCATGTCCTGAATTGAATTTAATTAACAACTGGATTCATTTTGATAAGGATGAGAAGCTAGGAGTTGTGGGAAAGGGTTGATCCATCTTCGATGGAGATGATGATTTTTATCTACTGAACAAAAACAATAGTAATATAGTAAGTAGTAGCCCTGCTTTTAGGAGTGACCTCGTGGTCTGGGGATACTGAGACCCAGCCATGAGCTCACTATTTCTGCATGTAATCTAGTTAATTTGAGCGTTCTGGTCGAAGCCGGAGAGCAGTAACGTTTTTGTCGACCCGATGTTAGAAAGACCACCGAAAAGTACTGGCTTGGTAGAGACGGTGAAAAGCATGCAAAGCTCTGTTTAGACGCTAGCCAGTCGTCTTAAGACTTAGTTTTGTTATCCGTCGATATGTATCTTCCGGGCGAATGTTACATAACCAAACGGAAGGGCCCCTTTTGTAATTTAGTTTTTGTTTAAATATAATATAGATGGGTTTTGAAGAATTTGATATTTTTCCGATAACGGGATTTCAACCCGGAGAATTCAAATTATGAGTTATTTGCCTTGACCACCTTGTTATCTTGCCTTGTGCCTTAATTAGTTAACACATATCTTAATATCAAATACCATTAGCAGCTCAACGACAGAAATTGATATTTTTTTATCGCCAGAATAAAATTTTCTACAGATTGTGAGAAAAGTTGCTTAATGGAAAAACTTCCTACTTCTGAATTACAATACACCTGCTCGGGCAATGGCAAACAAAATACTCGTATCTCAACATCAAAGCTTGGTGTATCTTGTTTTAGTCTGACCTCGAAGTCATCTTTTGTCGTCTCTCCCCTCCCATTTATATATTAGGAACATTTTTCATCTATCATGAACTGAGCGTAAATTCAGAAAACTATAAAACCCTGACGCAACCAAAAATAACAAAATGGACGGAGTCCGAGGAATGTGAAGAAGCACCAAATGATGGAAAAATGTTACAAACTTAAAAAAAAGAGAACAAACTTATAGATAGGAACATAAAATGAAGCGCTTAAGGAACATTTACAATTTCACAAGTCAGCTTTCTTTTCTGTTTTACAATCATCCTTTCGAGATCTCACTACATATCGCAGACTCGCATCTCTATTCTAAAATCAAGGTTATTGTTCGCTTACTTTACCAACGAGAGACCATCTCCTTCCGATTTCTGAGAGTGGAGATCCTTTAACATCTTTTTGTTTACCATCAGCACGAACATCCGACATAACACATCTGCAAACTATCACTTTTAATTTCAGTTTTTATCGAAAACATAGGATACAAAATAGACAAAAGGATTTTTCTTGATATGGCAGAGTAAAACATAATGTGGATAGAAGAGAGCCAGATGAGTGGGGATCAATGTGACATTCGACCAGAATGGCGCCAAAATGCATGGCAACATCGAAATTTTATAAAAGCATCCGAGTGGAAAATTTGCCGTTTCGATGGATCAAGTGCTAACCGTGCAATTTGACGAATTGGGAGAGGTTAATTTGAAGTTACTAAGCAGTTTTTAAAAATTCGTTCGAAAACAAAGACACGTCACGACCTTGAGACTTCGCGACCACTGAAAACCGCGAAAATCAGAACAGACAGAATATCGCTAGAAAACAGCTACATTGACTCTCGACAGTGAAGAAAAAGAGTGAATCATATTGAGATTACGATAGAGGCTGTCCGAATTGTAACGATTGTAGCTGTACAATCGTTACCGAACAATACCCGAGAAATCGGAAGGGTATCCAGAAGAAAGACAAGACCGCTCTTCCTCCGGATTCCATGTTCCAGAAGGGTCACGGGAAGAAATCTGTAACTGTATTCTAACAACTTCCAGCTTCTGGATATATCCTGAATTGAATTAAATAACATCAAAATTCGTTTTCTGTGACATTCGAGCAGAATACCGTCAAAATGCGTGTCGATTTCGTACTTTTATTGTGGCATCCGATTGAAAAAAAAATTGGCGGTTTTGGCGGATAAGTAAGGCTAATGTGACAATTTAGCGAATTGGGAATGGTTATGTAACATTCGCCCAAATACTACACAGTGACGGAGCGTAGAAAAAGCACCTATTGACGACTGGCCGGCGTCAGTTACATAATTTCTACTCGTTTTTCACCGTCTCGACCTAGCCAGTTGATTCTCTGGTCTGTTTAGGGCTAAGTAAAAAGTTACTATTTTTAGACCATCAGTCAAACGACTTTTGATCAGCTTTCGTTTACATGCGAACACAACCACATAGCTGAGTCTCGGATCCCCAGACTACATGATTGCTATAAAAAACACGGCTCGAATTTCCGATTTTACTATGTTTTTAGTGACAGTTATATACTAAATCCATTGGAGATGGATTGACCCTTTCCTCTTACTAGCTACTCATATTCTAAAACAACAAATAATAACGGGGTTAGTTCAAATGTTTGGGATATCAGGGTAGCTAAAAAGTTAGTTTACTTTAGTCTTTCACCATATGACAGTCTCTGGGGGCCGAGCCTCCGATTCAGCGCTCTTTCAGTAAAAACGTCGTTATTACTCTAACTTCATGAAACTGGAGGGTACTGCTCGTTCCGTCTGCCCCACTGAAGCCTCCTTTCATTCTATCGAATTCAATTTGTTGTCTTATCGTGCGTGATTGTCACAAAAAGAGGCTTCGCTTTTTTCTGTCAATTTTCTCGACCGTCTGTCTCTCGCTAATTCGGTTGTTGTTGTGTTTTTGATCTGTTTTCTGGGTAAACATGGCCGTCCTTGCATTTCTCAGAAATGTAACGTCGCAATTCGAATTTTTCTTAAATTTTTCTTCTAGATTATTTTAGCCTCCTTCACATCAATATATGAAGACTAAGGCCTCTAATGTTGTTTTCGTGCTGCGACGGAAGGTTCCGCTGTGCCAATCCGGGGGAATGGTATATACTCCCCGGATAGTCCCCTTCAATGTCCCCATTAATCGCATAACTCCGGGTTATTGTCAAGTAGTGTTCCAGTTCTCTATAATATTTTTACAAACCGAATTAGAAAATGAAAATTATTTACTCCAACTCAACTCACTGCGTGTCATAAATGGCATCGTACTACATTTCACTGCCTCTCAACATTTTCACAAAATTTGCACTATGAGGAGTGTCCTAGACAAATTTTTTTTTCTGACTACCTACATCATCTCTCCATATAATTTCTTCTCGCTCTTGCTGATTAAAAAGTTGGGACGTGGCACGGCCACGCACCCGTTAAAATTAATTGAATGTCACTCACCAAGTATAATCATTCATTTATGCGTTTGCCCTCAATATTAAAACTAAGAAACTCTGTGGCTAGGAAAGGTAAGGAGGTACTCACCCTCTTCGAGCAAGTGTACTCAAACCCTACCAGGTCGCCACACAGTGGACACGTGTCTCACACAGGTTAAAAACTTCAGTCGGGTTTGATTAGTTAAATATACTCACCTATGCTCTATATATGTATATATATATTTAAATAGCATCAACTGAAATGTTCCTTGTTATTCAACAATTGCGATAATTAAACTATTCTTAACGCCTGGTTTAACCAAACTACAACCAAACAAAAAGTTTAAAAGTTTCAATAATCAAGCTTAATTGATTGGTACAAGTTTTAGGGCACAATGACAATTAAGTTTCTCTCTCTCTCTCTCTCTCTCTCTCTCTCTATCTTCATTTCCATCCCTCATTCCATTGTCTCTTGCTCCTGCTCTCCTGCTTCACTATCCTCCAAGACTTTCTGCAATATGTCAACAGAGTTGCGTGCCGTGCACCAGCTTTCCTGCTCCAGCAACATCGGTTTGCAACAAGGCAGTAAAACTACGTTCACTTTCTGCTCCCGGCTCCTTCAAAAGCTGTTATGCAGGCACAGGCTCACATTCCGTTCTAGGCCAGCTTGTAAGACCTCTTTCTTTTCTTGATCAGTAGCACAAGGCGTTCCCGCTAATCGCTTCACCGCAGTGCTGACGGCGTTCTTGTGCGTCAGGAATACTATCTTATAGGCTCCCGGTCCTATATCTAGCTGGAAGGGTTGTAGACTTCCGTGTTTTTGGACATATGACGCTTCGCGCGTTCATACATCCATGACGTCATAACTGCCCGGATCCAAGGCATCAAGTTCTGCCTCGACCATAATATTTCAATGGCTTTGGGTATCCTCAGATCCCTGCAGGTGGTTCTGAAAAGATCCAAACTGTGGTTACTTTTCACGCTACTCAGTTGCTCAGGCGTCGGCATCGTCGTTTCCTGCTCGCTCGTTCCCGCGTTGGCTTCTAACTATCTCACCGCCAGCATGGCACTAACTACCACAATTGACACTGGCTGGTTTTGGTCTGGCAACCCCGTGGAGTACAACTCCTCCACATCCCATACTAACACCGTGTTCCCGTGCTTGGGGTACCATAACGTCTGCGCAAAGCAGTGACAAGGATACTCCCCATGGATCATTAAGATATTCCTTCGGGTCCGGTACCCTGAAGCTCCTAGTAACGGTTATAAACTTCTGTTATAATTCAATGTACGTCGTCTTTTTCATCAATGGTGGGGAATTCTGTGTGTAACACTCCACTCGCCTTACTCTTCTGGAGTTCACTCACATAACCCTCACTCAACCTCATGAAATTCTCACCCACTAGGTCCTGCAACTCGCCTTCAGATCTCTTCGGGACGGCCCGAATGATCTTCCTCAGTAAGTGATACGATTTCTCCCACATTCTGGCCAACCTCACGCATTTTGGAACGGAGAAGAATTGGTCAACCAACACCTACTGCGTCCTCGCATTCATCACCACCATGTGCATAGGGTATTTACTACTGCAATATGGCGCGGAGCTCGAATTTACCAGATACTTCGAGCCAGTAGGCTTATGATAAGCTTGTCTGTCCTTCAGATTCATTTCATTTTCCCAAGCTTCTCGCCAACCACCAATTTTCTGCTCCGTTTGCAACGCTCCGGGGAACAGTTCCACATTCAAGGACGTAACCAGTCCATGGGCACGCTCCAGGCGTTCAAACGACTCGATCGAGCTGGTCATGCTGCAAAATCCCAGAGCTGTAATCAAGTTTACTTCCGTTACTCCATGACAGTCCACAATCAATTCCATTTCAATCTTGTCCGACATGCTTAGACTTCCATACAATTTAGCTAGTTGGCTATGTTGTTCACTCAGCGTATTTAGGCAATGGCCTGTACCACATACGTGTCCTTCCATCCCACAACTGAAAGCTAGACAAGCGCCCTATTTCAACAAATTATTTGGACAACCTCCCTCGGACAATTCCGTGGCTGGTTTGCCGTTCTTCTTTGCTACTTTCATGGCCATTAGATGGTGTATCACGGCCAAATCATGCAGATTCGAGTCATCATCAAAATCCAATGCGACATCTGCCGTCATATCCCAGATCAAACCGGCTTTCGGATGTGCGCACCATGAAGGATTCATGAGCTCCCACATGGTTACTAAACTGGTCTTCAAAGGACCGTCCCATGAACCACATTCAAAGCTCACTTGCCCCTTCAGCTCGGGAACCGAGGGTTCAACCACTCGTTCCTCTAAAACGATTCCCAGTTTGGGTTGTTCTGCCATTAACAGGCCGGTTTCTTTGACTCTCTCGACCCAGAAATCAAGGATTCTGACCTGTTCGTAGTCAAAATAAGCTTCCCTGGCCTCCTAATCCACAAAGGGGTTGTAAGCTATTCCTGGTATGCCGGATACGTTTTGAAATGACTTCAGCTTAGCCAAGTTTGCATAATCTTTGGAATCTCTGACTGTTTCAATGGATTCACGACTCACCTTCAGTTCCTTGTTGGAGTATCTCCTCACCTCCTCTAGCCTGCGATAGCTCTCTATATCGTTAGACTCCTTAGTCGGTATCAGCAGCGGCATGTCCTGATATAACTCCACAAGACCCTCAGAGAAATTCGTTCACAATCAACTCCCCCTTGCCGAATGGTTTTTATAAATTACTCTAATACAGGAGTGTGGATACGATCCACCACAAATCTAAGAAAACAAAGGGCATCTTTGCGCTTAGCCCAGGCTATCGCAGAGTCATCTCTACAAATCAACGCGCGCAGGGCTTCCATCAGTTCCAGCTCCTGCTCCTTCGATTTCGAATCATTACTAGATTCATATTCTGACCTTTTGAATCCCACCAGGTACCAAGCCCATCGCATTTGCAAGTCAGTCCTCGTACATGGGTAGGCTTGGTATGCTGCCACTGTAACAGGCGCATGC